GTGAGAATCCATCGGAAATATAGGAGAACAAACTTCTTGACTGCACTATTCATTTTCATGGATACGCTAAAATGCGAAAGGATACATTTTTTCTACGAGAAGAACAAGCAATGAACTCATCGAGCTTAATGAATGAGAGGGGGTTTTTCAGCGATTGCGTTCAACATAAATGGTGTGAAGAAGCTTCCCTATGAGTTTGCATATTGCGATAATAAGGATTTGATTCCTAATTCAGCAAATACAACCGAGGAGGCTCACGATAACTTCCAAGTATATTTATCGCGTGCAGTGAGTTTTACAACATTGGAATGTGCATCAATGTTCGAGACTAGCTCCATTCAGGCGAAAGAAGCTGCTGTTTCCGAAGGCATCACGAGGTCGACCAACGATACATCCGTTAACCTCTCTTATAGCCCGATTAAGTAATTGGTGTATCGAAGCTTTTGAATCAGAATTGCTTGAAACTGACACTTATTTCAGATGCTGTGATGGTCAGAAACAACTCTGTCATGGAACTAATGAAATTGTTCAAGTGTATGATCCAAAAGAACGCTTATTTTTAAGCGTTACACTAAATGGTGTTTTTGGCACTATTACAGTGAGTTTACTTCGCTCTTTTCCTATTTGTTTGAAACATGTGGTAGCGCAGCCACCGTATGAGATTGGCAAAGTTTAACATCATTATCGAAATACAACTCTCATTTGACTTGGGGAATCACTTGACAAGTCTTTCAAATCTTACTGAAAGACAGTTGACGATCTTTTCCATATAATACTAATACATCTTCATACTCATACTCTACACAAAGCCAGTGCTGCATCGCCTGCTTGGAATGCTTTTTACTTTTCAATGTAAAGTGATTTAGGGCCCTAGTGTAACTTTTATTTCACACAATAATATTTTAACACCTGCTTTCTTTTGACCTGTACTCTCGAACAATGTAGGATTTCTGTTAGCAAGGGTTACAGACAATATGAAGAGGGGGTTTTGTATAGAAAGAAATCAGTTACTCTCTTTGCCCATACTTGGGCATAAGGCCGC